GTAAGGCTCTTGCTCCTCTCGATGACTTGAAAATAGCTGGTGGGGCAGGGAATTCTTATTCTTATTTGGTCTTGCTTGAAACATGCATGACTACTGAAGAGGAAGCCCCCAAAAGTTAGGTCCCATGGTGAACTTATGCATAGACTACATGGAGAGAAGATGGATGCTTAAGCCTTGTTCTTTGTGAATTCTTCACCCTGTCCTATGCAATGCAAAGAAAACCTGCTGTGTCCCTGGATAGCTGTTTTTCAAGCCTCTTTATTCCTATAACCATGTATCTTGTACATGCAAACACACACACACACACACACACACACACACACACACACACACACACACACACACACACACACACACACACACACTACTGTTCAACCTTCTCATGGCCTTCTGTGTACAAACACAGTTTCATCTAATTCATGGGAAGAAAATGAGAAAGTAATAAGCCGGAAGGTTCACTTCTTCCCTCATGACACCCAGGAAAGCTTTCACCTCTGCCCCATTGAATTCAAAGAAAAGGAATGGGCAACACATCTGGCTTTCATAAGGAGATTCATTGATCCTGGCAATGCCCAGTGCCCAAACTTACAAACAGAAGCCAACTTTCATTTGCACTGCATACCTCACATGAAGACTGGCAGCTGGAGGTACAGAAATGTATTTGAGAGACACAGAATTCCGAATGGATGTGTGTGACTGCCTTGGTCCCCAGGCTTTGGCGATGTGATGGTTTCTAAAACAGTTATAACTATTTCTATATAGGTGCCTTGTTGGGGGGGAGGGGTTGGGCAGCAAACCAGCCAACAAACAAAATGTGTGTGTTTCCATATTGAATGCGATTTTCTGGCTCTGTTCTCTGAGGACATCAATGTGAATGTTCAGGTCCTCTGCATGCATGAATGTCCCGGAGGGTGCTTATTTTCGTGATGACTATTTTAATTTAAGGATATGTTTCATGAATAAAATGATAATGGTAACGATTTGCATGTGTGGCTGAGGCATGCTGGGTCAGACAGGTAAGCAAGCAGGCAAGGGGCGTGGCTCATGAAAGAGAACTGTCAGAGGACAGTTGTTAGCTTGCAGCAACTGCAGAATCCTTCTGCAGTTTAATAAAGCAAAAGAAATCCCTGAATTTAAAAATGCCGTACTTAGCTCCATGCACAAACTTGTCATAAATGACTCTTTGGCAGGCAGAGCTGAGATCTTCTGTCTGGCCACATACAGGGTTTATTACTGTTTTCTCCTGAGCACTCATAACACGTTTTCTAAATTGTAGGGACTCTTCAAAGAAATCCAAGCCATTGGCCAGACATACTTGTAAATACATGAATTATCCATTTACCCAATCATCAGTTGCCAAGATGCAAGATGCTGCATGTAAATTATTATCTTCAGTATTCTCTGACACCGGATTAGGAAAATTGAGAGGGTCAATAAGGCTAATAAAGACGATGACAATCTTGAAATACTTGAGATCATTCTACAAATGAAAAGGCTTAAATGTTATTAAATTCCATCACTGAAGATCCACACAGTCTCAATTGTAATGTGGCTCAGCTACAGCCCTTAATTATTTTTATGAAAATATCTCTAGATGCTAAATTCTCAAACGCCCACTTTGTATGTAATTATAATCATAGTAACTTTAGCCTGCTGTATAATTATAAGAATCTTAAACAGATTTATTTCTTTGAGTGTTTATCTTGCTTTCTTCAGAATAAGTGCATCTAGCCCCAAGTTGAAGAAAGGTTAATTACAAAGATAGACTTTAAATTGCCGTCTTCAATAAGACTAATTTAGACACTTGATCAAAACAAACAATGTCTAATAACTATTCTCAGAGTTACTGAGGAAGCCCACCATCCCCACTTACATCTGTCTGAAACTGTTAAAATTCTCTGCATTGCAGAACATGATATATGTAAATATCTGTATAAAACCTGCAATTTTAATTTTATTAGGAGTTCTCATTGGTGATACATTCTACTGAAAAAAAATACTCATTCTTGGATTGATAAATCTTTAATAACTGCAATTCCCAGTTTGGTGTAGCAGTTGCAGCTGAAGGAATCCACTAACTATTTCCATGTAATTGGCCTCTTGCTGTTTATTAGAGATGCTTGCACATTAGGTCCTCTTGGTTGCTGTGGAAATTGATTACTGGCCCTATTTAACTTTATTGTAATCAGAATCCTTGTCACCTGTGGAATTTTTCATTGAGGTAAATTCAGTGATAGATGAATTTTCAGAAACAATCTCTAAAATGGAATTTCTGGTTTGATTTATCATTATTAAGTGGTGGTACCTTTTATTTTTAATCAATGCAGACAAGGAAAGGACTTTATTAAAACACAATCAGGGTGAAATGGGAAATTATAGTAATATCTTTTGAGTCTCTACTAAAGATATAGAATCTATCAGGGCAATAGTATGATAAATTATTTTTATACTATCATACCACAGCATCAATAATAACAAAGTCTAACTTCCTCCTCTCTGGAAGACAGACAGGATGACAAAGAAATATGCTTCCTAACGAAAAGAAACCCTTTCAAACTTACAAGGGAAATCAGTGGAGTTGGGAATGTTTGAGAAATGGTTACTGCTTGACAATTTGATAAAAAGAAACACAGCAACAAACCTTCCTTGTGATTCACTCTTCAGCTTTCTCCAAATTGAAACTAAGCCTGCTGTGCTGCCCTCACCCTCTGTAGAATTCTACCTTTACTCAGCACAAATTACACCATTATAAAATTAAAAATTCAGGAACCCTTTGAAAAATATTGAACTACAGTAACCCCAGTGCTGCCCAGAAGGTCTTTATTGGGTACCTTGCAGCTCACTGCCCATCATCCACCTGTGTAAATGATCACATGCTGACAATCTCAGAGCATCTGAGAGGCTCTGGGTGTTGACCTCCCGGATAAAGACCATCTGCTATGGGCCAAGCTTGTCCCAAATCTCAAAGATTGAACTGAGCTAGGTAACATCACAGCTTTGTTGAGGAATTGAGTGGGAATAGGTGAACAGTTTTCCTCGGCATTTCATAAGCATTTGGTAACACTTGACCTTATCAATTCTTTATTTTGTTAATCTTGCTTTGGTGTAATGGAAGCCAGCTGTCCAGACTCTCAAGGAGATTGTTTTCTGAGCTTGAATCAATCAGAGCATGGCGGTGGGGCCTGTGGTCATCTGGTCATTGCATGCTACTCGGTGTGCTGATGTGTCTGTTGTATGCGTTGGGTTGGACAGGTCCATCACATTAGCTACATGAATGGCTTGCTTGGAATAAGCCTGGGGTACAGGTCTCTCTTTATTGATTGGCTCTTGGTTCATTGTGTTTTATGGCTTGGTCTTTGTTGCATCTTTCAGCTATTCAACTGGGAGGTGGGAAGTGGAGAAGGTCCCCTATTCAATGAATTATGGCACTCATAGTGGGGGAATAAATGTGATATGTACATAGCATTGATGAAATACTCCGGCTAGAAAAAAACTCCAGCCATGCTTGTTCTGCTTGCTGATACTCTAACATTCCCTAAGGTTTGGTGCATGAAAGTGTCCCTCCCTGTTAGGGAAGATGGTAGCTAGACCTAGACAGGTTAGAAAAACACCAAGAACAGAATGTCTTACTGTCAAGTTTAACAATAATATGGTTTTAACTGCAACCATTTCTTCTATCAATTAAAACATGATTTTCCTTTCAAAAAATATAGTGCTTTTTGAAAAGTAAGGTAGTACATAAAATTTAGGCATAACAATCATCACTTAGGAAGTAAAATAATTTCTAGCAAGTTCTGTTTAGAATAGAGGAATGTGTTCATTGGAAATTTAGTGTCCAAAAGTTGACACTTTAAGGAAATGCATTTATATTAAAAATGATTTTTAATCACTTAACTAATTTAATCATCAAATAATTTAATCCTAAATATATTTTCTTATATTTTATTATAATGAAGGGTTTTGAGCTGTTAAAATATAAAAATACATTTTTAAGTAACCAAGAAATATGTGTTCTGGAACATAGAATGGAATATTCATAATTATGTAAAGATATCTTCTGGGTAAGAGATGCTCATTGAAAGTCAGACAAAACTATAAATATAGATGTATACAGATCTACAAATGCTGGAATTGTGTTGACATGAGAGTACAACACCAGGCCCATAGGTGTCCTTAGACTAAGCAAGGAGGCTGTGAGCAACAGGGTCTGCTTTCAGTTTACTCTTCTTCATTTTCTGAGACTTTAAAGTTTCATTGTTTTTATATGATAAGAAAGTATAATATGGCAATTCCATATAACTCCACCTAATATAAACTCAAACAAAATCTTGTCATCTTACATACTTATAGAGAACTTCTAAGAGTTTTGGAGATAAATCTCAGAACAAGAAAGCCAGACCTTGTAGAGTTTAAGCACTATTCAGACCAGGTACTCAGAAGCTGAAGATTAGATGATTCATTTCAGAGAGTGGAAGATTAGTAAATTTCTTAAAATTTAATAGGCATAAGTAGCCATGTCTTTATTATATAGATGACAGAAATGCAAACATATATAGATGAGGAGATGGGTAGATGGAAGAATGGATGTGAAGAGAGATATATGATTCTTAAATCTGTGGGTGGGTGGATGAAGGAAGGAAAAGAAAGCAAAAAGGAAAGAAAGAGATGCAGGACAAGCAGACAGAAGATGGGGGCAAGAAATGAAAAGGAAAATGTCAAGAGCAAAATAACGTCTTTTCTCCCTTCTATTTCATCATAAGTGAATCTACGGAGAACAGAACTAAATTCTTAGACAAAACTTTAGTCTGAAGACTGAAGCAGCTGAGGGATCTGAGTCCATTCCCATTTGTGTAGCACAGCCCCTCAGTCTATCTTAGGTGTTATTTTCTGGATTCAGATTTAAAATTACTGAATTTCTACCGGGGTAATAGGCAAATAGCTTCATTTAAAATGATAAGCCATTTTACTAGCATCCTTAGGTATGTATATGGACACACACA